ATTTAGGAACTTATTAAACTGGAGTATAGATAATGTTTTTAGAAAAATCTCATAAAGACTGACTGTCCCTGCTGAGTTCACTTTTTATCTTCCTTCATGCTCTCATGCAAAAGATACAAGTGACGCTGTCTGGTCATTCAGAAGATTACTGTCTATGGCAACAACCTTCTCTGCGGCACAGTCAAAGATATCAAACTGATGTTTGTAGGAGCCTGCGTTATGGTTGTCTGTTACAGAATAGCTGTTTGATTTCTTGTTACGCTCCTCTGAGCAATATCATTAAAAAAGAAAAAAAAAGTTTCAGTATTCAAATCTAGACCCAAAATTTTAGTGTAGAACTTATAAAGACAAGTAGTGTATTTTTAAAAGGTGTGTTAATTTCACTATTAGAAGAGTATTTTTTCCTCTGAGTCATTACAAATTAGAGTATTGAAATATTTTTAGATAACTTGGGTTTTCAAACAAAATCATTTAATGGGCTTCTTTATCTTCTTACAGGATAGTCAAGACACGTGTTAAAAATGGAATTCCTTGTTTTGAAATTGAGTGGCAAAAACCAGGTTGGTCTAGTTTCTATGTACATTATGGAACAAAACAGTTCGTAGGAAAATAGGAAAGTATACTTTAAAGAGGAAAAGTTTGACAACATTGTGAGGAAATGAAATGTGGGTGAGATTGGAAACTGTTCCCTGAAAACAATAGGAAATCCACATCAAATGTCACATACCCTGAAAGTAAAAGCAGTGGGGTGGCTTTTGTTTGTTATTAAAAATGTCATCTACCTAGAACGCCAGGGACTCGATCTTCAGGTACTTTTTCTGGTACATGTTAATAAGACCTGGACTCTGTATTTTATATCTTATTTCACTGTATACCTGAAACTGTGACTGTTCACTAGCTAAAAATTTTTCTATGCTGACAGACTTCTACCTTTAGTGTGCCTGTTTGTGCCAGGAGATTGGCAGAAAGAAAAAGACTTGTAGCTAAATCTCAAACATTGTACTATTGACGTTTTTACATACCTTCTTTGTACTCAGATAAATTTTTTGTTGTTTTTCTTATTTCCTACTTTGGAATGTGTGTATATACATGTCTAGTGTACATTCATTGATGTTTTGGTTTTGTGGGGTTTTTGTGGGGTTTTTTTTAAGAACATTATGTTGATGCAGACGACGAGCCTGCGGAGTTGTTTGTAGTCACAGTAGAAGAGGAGTCTTTGTTTCGGGCTGCTTATCCCCATGTTGTTACCCTTTATCAAGTGGAAAAGTCAGAAGTTCTGAAGAAGAAACAGAAAAGTAAGTCCAAAAGCTTATTTCTTATGAACTTACGGGTCTTGCCAGAATACACAAAGCACAAGCAACAAGTATGTTTTCCACTGTTGAGCAATATCATGTTTTTTCAAGATCAAGGCATGATATATTATAGGAACTGTGCTTTTATCTTACCATTTTATACTTTCGCACTAGGAAATCTGAACTGTGGTTAATATGCCATTTAGATATGCCCTTTTATTTTTTTTCAGACAGAAAAGATAGACCAAAAGAAAAGGAATTGCCAAATGTTTATGATGAAGTTAGCAATCTTCTGTCTCAAATGAATTTAAAATCTACATGTGGAGTTCTTCCTGTGCAAAACTCCGTGTCAGATATAAAAACTCCCCCAGGAGACCAGATACACCTGAGAAGTACTGAATCAAAAGATCTAGCATTAGCTGCAGCTTCCTGCGTAACTGTTCAAATGCCAGCATCAGCAACTGCTCTTTCTCCAACTACATCGCTTTACTCGCTCTTACAGAGTACATTGGCTGACTCACCTGTATTGCCAGCACAATTTACTAAAGATTCAGGGATATCGTCCTCTTCCTCTGTAACAGCTGGTCTACAGCTGAGCAGTATGGAAGGAACCTTCTCCAGCGCTTCACCAGCCCACGGGGATGATATTCATGATCCAGCAGCTGACTTTACATACATAAAACATTCTCATCCACTAGGTGATGAAACAGTGAGAAATAGCTCAGAATATTCTGATGCTATGCAGTCTGATCAACATCATTCTGATAGTGCGGATGATTTGGTTTCAGATGATGCCATGGGACAAATTCAGAAGTGGTCTTTAAGTGCGCAAATGCTTAAGACGACTACCGTTCCATCAAAGCCTTTGTCATCTGAAGATGTAGTGCAACTGGAGTCTTTGAAATGTTTTAAACAAACAGAAGAAACATTGAATCATTATGAAGATGATGTCTCTTCCTCATGTCAGTTAAATAAACTAGTTCAGGAAAGTAAAAATATGCTATCAGAAAACTATTCAAGGGAATCCAGTGTACACATTTATCAATATCAGTACAAAAAAGCTGGCAGCCTGGCTGAAACGATGCAAAAAGACTGTAATATAAGCAGTTCAACATTTCTAGCCCGCAGTGGGCAAACAAAACAGATGCTGCATCCTGAGTGTGAAATGCTTCCAGTCTCTCAGAAGTCACCAGATGTTGTAACTAGCTGTTGCGTTAAAAAAGCTTATACTCAAACTACTTGGAAAACTTCTTCTATAAAGAGTGTGTGTCAGAACAGATGTTCTTCTAGTGAAGACAGTGATGATGATAACATGAATAAAAATTTGGTTTATGAGCAGCAGCAAAGTCAACTGAACCCTGGTCAGTTTAAAGAATGTTTCACAAAGGAAGGGAGTGATGCCGTTACGAGCAAAAGAACAAACAGTGACTCAGCTCTTTCAATTAAAGGGAAGAAGAAAAAGACCAATTTAAAAAAAGCTGGTAATAGTTTGTCATTGCAAGTATCTCCAGAACCATCCTCTGTAGGGGAAGTTAATTATTTCCAAAGTCCGGAGCAACCATTTGAGAGGTCAGGTTCTGGTCCCACGCAGCAAGCCAAAACTGCTGTTCTGACTTACGCATGGGCAGACAGTCCCCTTCCCCTGTCTGAAAGACTAAAAGGAAGAATCAAAATCAATTAGATTATCCATAAAATAGATTATAATAACAATTAACTCTGAATCTTCAGCTGTTAGAGTTCTTTCTCAAAGTTTCTGCAGAGTGCTCTGTCAATGTTAAGTGGATGCAGTTTTGATGAATAAGTAGTGCTCTGAAATACTGCATACGGGTGCTAAATTTTGAAACAAAAATGTTAGCAAAAGTACTAAATAGCTGATTATAGGCAAGTGCTCATTATTCTGGACTTGATTACATTCTGAACTTGATATGTAAGCATCAGGATATAGTATAAAAGGGAGCAGGGGGGTTAATTGATGAAATAAGAAAAGTTTTCCCCTAGCCAGTTGTGAGGATTTTGTGTACGGCTATTAGTCTTTCTGGTTGTAAAACCAGACTTACTAAAATAGTGTGTGCACTGCTATCTGATATTCTTAATAAGACAAAGTGATACAGTTCTTTCCAACTGAAATTTTCCGTTCTGCTCCACTAACTTAATTTTGCTAGTTTTAAAATGGGTTTTCAAATCCTGGGATGCTGGTTGTGTTGATTATCTCTGAAGGACCAGATAGAGACACACAGCAGATGTACCTTGCAGGGTAGCTAAATTTGTATCTGCCATGCCCTATAATAAACTATTCTTTGAGTCTGTCCATCTTCTGAATAATGGAATAAGCCATGTAAGGGTATTTTGGTTTTGTAGCTGTCATATCTAATATATAAGGACATTTGATGACTGTTTTAATCAAACATTTATAGTTTGGGGCATTTTTTTCTTAAGATGATGAAATCCTATCTAACACTCACTTCTACTTATAATAGAATGAAGATTAAGTTACAGAAAATCTAATGATGATATTGCAAATTCTTTAATATCATGTAAATGTTTGTTTCTAAAGGGGAAACTTGAATACAATTGCTTTTTTGAAGCTGTTCTTTGTACCTCTTTAATGTAGAAGCAATCTCTGTTCATATACAAAAAAAGAGTTCTCTTCAACTGCTTATTATAAAATGCCTCCTTGCCTGCATTTAGGTATTCATAACTTTTTCTATGGACCAACCAGAAGGAGGGCCACTCTTACAAGACAGAAAGTTAACAACAGGAATTTAGAATATCCATGCCTTAATGAAAATGTCAGTTCTTTCTTCATAAAGGCCAAGGCTTTAAAAGTTAAGCAGCTAAATTCCAGATGTCTTTAAGGAAGAAATAGGTAGCCTATAGATAATACAGTCTGTAATTAGCCCAAATGGTAGTTTCTTATTTTCCTCTGTGGGCAGATCTAGAAAGTTTGTTTATAGTTGATACTCCAAATGAGAAATGTGTTACGAAAATGAGCAAAAAATCCAAAATATTGGAAACTTATTTTCAGTTCTGAAGATGGTCTCCTCTCTTCTGGAATCTGAAGCACCTGGCTGATGTGAGAGGGTAGCTGGAAGAAGATAATTGCTAAGGAGAGTAGCAGCCACCTGGGAGAGATTCCCATGAGAGATTCTGTATGCAGTGCTCAGTAATGGAGAGATCAGACCATTTTTTGTGGAAAAACATTGTTATTGATTATGTATGATTCTTTTCCTTGCTGCTGATTTTGAATACTGAAAGTTGGAATCAAGAGTTTGAGTTTTCTTTAATAAAAATGCCAGCATCATGTGAATGACCTCACTTTTGTTCCCTCCCGGTGTATGGGAACGCGCTGTTTTGTTGGAGGGCTCTTACCATTTCACCCACAGTGTGTGGGTTTCTGTGGTTTAGGGTTTTATTTAGCATTGGGGGGCAAGAGCTGTTTTTGGAGGCATTTTTGTTTGTTTTCCAAATCTGGCTGGGATGACTGCTTTAATGGTTGATTTGCGGAAAATACTGTGCCAGAATTATGACAAGTTCGTGTGTTGTAGCTGATAGAGACCGGAAAGGAGATACAAGATTAGTATCTTAAATAGAACTGCAGAGGGCGAAAAAAAGAGTCTATGTTGCTAATTATCACTACAAAATAATCTGGTTTCATAAGTTCAGTTCAAGCATGAAAAGCAGAAAAATTTCAATTTTTTTCATTTGCAATGCATCTCAATTTGTGCAAGTTTTCTGCCACTACTTTAGAAGCAGCAATAGATGAGAAAACAACTGTATAGGATGCCCGCTCTCCTGTAGGCTATAGCTGCTCAGTACAGCAAATAAGAACATTTATCATTGGGGATGACTGGTGCATGAATTAAACTTGTGATTCATTACAGAAGGGAAATTACAGGTTTTTTTAAAATGTTTTGATTTTTCATCTTTATGTAATTTTCTCAATCTAAGGATTAGGGATGATTTTTCTTGTTTGGAACTGTTTTGACTGTACCAAAGCTGACTGCTTTGCAGCCTCTCACACTTGTGAAGATGATGTTTAAATAAATTGAGTCGCTGTAACAGATAACTGTCTCTTGTAGGAAATGTTCCTACAAGATTATGTTAAACTGACTGTAGGTATAAAGGAATATGATGCATCAGCCTGATGACCCTGAATGTATTTTTATTTATCATCTGTCCTGGTCAGCCCCAACAGGCTCTAGCAGGGTGTTTCATCGAAAGTAATAAACTGTACCAGCTGTGAGGATGGGGCGAGTAAAGGATGCATTCTTGTCCTGGTTTAGCCCCGGCCAGCACCTAAGCACCACACAGCTGCTTGCTCACTCCCCCCTGGTGGGATGGGGGAGAGAATCAGAAGAGGGAAAGTGAGAAAACTCATGGGCTGAGATAAAGACAGTTTAATAGGTAAAGCAAAAGCCACACACGCAAGCAAAGCAAAACAAGGAATTCGTTCACCACTGCCCATGGGCAGGCAGGTGTTCAGCCATCTCCAGGAAAGCAGGGCTCCATCACGCATAACGGTGACTTGGGAAGACAAACACCATCACTCCAAATGTCTCCCCCTCTTCTCCTTCCCCCAGCTCTATATGCTGAGCATGACGTCATATGGTTGGAATACCCCTTTGGTCAGCTGGGGTCAGCTGTCCCAGCTGTGTCCCCTCCCAACTCCTTGTGCACCCCCAGCCTACTCGCTGGTGGGGTGGTGTGAGGAGCAGAAAAGGCCTTGGCTCTGTGTAAGCACTGCTCAGCAGTAACAAAAACATCTCTGTGATAAATACATCCCTGTGTTATCAACGCTGTTTCCAACACAACATAGCACTGTATGAGCTACTATGAAGAAAATTAACTCTAGCTAAGCTGAAATAAGGACAGTTCAGCGACTTTTCTGAAGGTTTTTCTGTACAACTGCTGTACCAGCCTGAGTGCTTTCCCTGGTCCGTCACTCCTGATGTTGGCATCCCTCTAGCTTGAATGATTCCTGCAGAGATGCAGGGCAGATAGGTTCTGTCTTAGCAGTATAAATGCTGTTACTTCTACTTGTAAACAGTATTAAACATCTACTTAGATGTGAGTTTATTTAGCGTAGCTTAACAGAGGGAAACACTTATATGGCATTCCTTGTAATTGTAACTCAGTAGTTGAGATCCATGGGGAATTAACCAGAAAGGAAAATAAATGCTGTTTGTATGGGATATGTATGTAGTCACAAAAAATATAATGTGAAAACCAAACCCCACCCCTTAATTTCTATATATCCCACTGTCAAGCTACACATTTTCTTACTTTTTTCATTGGAAGATATTTCTGAAATACTTACTAGCATGTGCAAACAAAAGGAAAAATTCATTTTCATTGCATTTACTAATTTCTACTTTATTGATAGCATCGATGAACTTGATAAATCTTTTGCTAGTTAACAGAGAAATTCCCTAATTTGAGAAAGGAGTTATTTAACTTTGGAGCTTTGCACAGGCTGGGCTCTGTGCTCTTATGTCAAGAAAGAAACTTGGAAAATATAGTGGTGAGAGAGATGAATGGCAGCTGTTACTTGAGACAAGAGAAAGTCTTTTCATGTCTAAAAAGGTGTCAGACCCTGCCGTACTATATCAGCAGATAAAAGGAAACTGCGGTTAGAATATTATTGAGAGTTGTTATAAACCTAAGTGCTACTGACAAAACAGTGAACTCAGTGCTAGATTCAGCACTTTTTCCTTCAGGAAACAAAACACTTTAACTTTTTCAAGAAAACAAAATTACGATGGGTGACAGAACCACTCTTTGCACAGTTGTCTTGCTCATGTATGCTGCATCGTAGCTACTATCAGTACTGAACTTAACTTAATAAGATTAATCACATATCAAACTTTAAAAGTTCTTTAAACCCAAGCCTTGTCTCCATCCCCCACCCCCATTTCCCCTGATGGAGTTGGAGAGATTCTGTCACTTCCAAGACAGCTGGAAAAGGGACATACCTTCGAAAATTTTGCTCCGTGAAAACAGCTACCTATACTGAAATTCCACCTGATGGATATTTAAAGTGAATTACCTGCCTGACTAAAATGTAAAGAAAGAAAAGAAGCTAACCAGGGATATTTTTAATGCCAAGATAGTGTAGAAGTAGCTGTTACCATTTATTTTATTTTATTTTAATATCTTATTTTAAAATGCAGTTTGCTCTGCTAGAGCGCCTCCCCATCCAAGCTCGAAGCCAAGTTAGTTGTCCTACCAAGCGTTCTCGGCAAAGGTTGGATCTGCAGCGCGCTGTGGGTATTCTGTAGGACACGGGGGGAGGACCTCTGAGCGTGGTTGGCTTTGAATAAGTCTGCGGGCAAATTTACCAGATGAACCCTTACGTACTGTCTTCTCCCGACATCCCAGTGCTGCCCTGGCAGTGATACCACATCACAGATAACGGATGGAAGTGATAGCACAAACCCTAGAAACTGTCCAAGTTTGGTCTCCTGCAAACCCATGAAATTTGGGGCCTCATTTCAGGTCAAATTCAGGCTGCCTTCCAGTCCAACGTGAATTCCAGGTCTCAGAGCAGCTTTAGCCTTTAAGCCTCAGTCACTCAGCTCACTGCGATGTCTTGTAGACATTTTCTTTGCATCTTTTGCACTGGTGAACTGAATTTGCTGCTTGATCTGCAGCTGGGTGGAAAACAGCCCTGTGCTGGGGCTC